AGTCCGAGTCCCCGCTGATGATTGTACGCCTATATAAGGAAAAATTACCATCTCTCTGTATGTGTTTCAGTCCGAGTCCCCGCTGATGATTAAACCTTACATCAAGGACATGACTAAGTCGGAGCTACACGCCATCATGACGGGAGGCTTTGCAACGGTCGCTGGATCCGTGCTCGGAGCTTACATCAAGTTCAACGTAAGCTTCTGCAACGGCTGCATGCTCGCAATCGTACGCGAACCAGAGAGTGGAAAATAACTGCCGAACGCGTTAATATAATATTCATAACATATTTATAATATATTATAATTAATTAATTAATTAATATATTCATAATATAATATAATATAAGATTCATTAAAACGTTAATAATAATAATAATAATAATAATAATAATAATAATATTAATAATAAGAAGAAGACTAGTTAACTTGGACACCCTACGGACATCACCAGAAGCTTTTTTTGTAAAATCTTCGGATTCGCAAGAAAAGACTACTGGTATAAAAATCAGGATTAAAGTTAGGGTTAGTATCGACACTAGCGGGATTTCATTAGGGTTAGGGTAAGTATCGACACAAGCGGGATTTCATTAGGGTTAGGGTAAGTATCGACACTAGCGGGATTTCATTCGAGCAAGAGCTCTAGTTTTTACTTGGGGAGGCGTAAAGTAACGTCACCACATCGGAACCAAACAGGGTTTCGTAGTCACACGGAAACATTACTATAGACGAGCTTCTTTGATTTTAGAGTTAAGGCTCAGCCAGAGAACCATCTCGGAACCCGCGGCCGCGTTTCCTTGGCGATGAGTTATATTTTTATATATATTATCAATCATATATATATATATTATATATATATTATAATATTATATATTATTATATATATTTATATCTATATCCTCGTGTCGTTTAGCCAACTAATGGTCCCCTGGTCACTAGCGGTGTGACGCCGTGTGACGTCACGCATGTCACGTGTTGCAGGTGAGCGCCAGTCACCTGTTGTCGGCGTCTGTGATGTCGGCACCGGCGGCCCTCGCCATCTCTAAACTCTTCTATCCGGAGACGGAGCCGTCAAAGACGATGACGGCCGAGGACGTCACGCTGCCGAAAGGGTACGTCAATACTTAAAAGTATAATAATTATTATAGAAGAGATGATAGTACGCATTAGCTTACTATTTAATTTATAATAGAGGACAGTAGTTATATGAATATTAATTATTTTAGAAGAGCTAATAATATAACGAGATGAATATTAGCATTGATTTTAATTTTAATTTTAATATTAACAAGAGAGAGCGAGAGTAATACCTATAAGAATTATCCCCTCTTATATATAATACTTATTATACTAATAAGTATCTCTTGTTAAAATTTATACTTACCATAACGTAAAATCTCACCTGACTACGGTTCCCGTATGATTTACTCACACATTTTATATTACCATCTCTGCGAGAGATACCAACCTGATTGGCACCGCCACCATCTTGTGTTCCGTCATTTTGTTCTTGCAGGAGAGAACATTCTATACTACATTCTCTCTCGGCTATCACCCTAACCCCATCTAGATTATCTTGGGTTCTCCCTTCTCCTCACCACCTCCGAACATGCAGGAATACGCTCTCTGCCGGCAAAACTTGATTGGCACCGCCGCCATCTTCTGTGTGTTGATCGGCACCACCGCCATCTTGTGTTCCGCCATTTTGTTCTTGCAGGAAGGAGGTGAACGTTGTCGAGGCGGCAGCTAACGGCGCGTCGACGTCTATCAAGCTCGTCGCCAACATCGCTGTCAACCTGATAGCCTTCCTCGCCTTCCTAGCTCTCATCAACGCCCTGCTCAGCTGGTTCGGTTCTCTCCTCGGACACCCGGAGGTCACCTTCGAGGTACAAAGGTCGTGACCCGTGACGCACGTAGTGTGGGGGGGGGGCACGTGACCGAGGTGACGTTTCGGTCGGTGTGTCACGTGTTTGTATCGCAAATCTGTTGTGGGGTGGAAGTGGATGACGTGAAAATGTGTTAATGAAAAGCGAGCAAAAGCAATTGCGACAATTAATCGTTATCATTGACTAACACGTGCCTTTCTTCTATCCGCGGTGAAAATGCTATTAATAATTTCATATATATATATATATATACAGCATAAATCCAGAGAACAAAGACAGAGGGAGAGAGTGATCGATTGAAAGAGAGACGGACAAACAATCAATGTGCGTGCGCGCACACACACGCACACACACACACATACCCACGCACACACACACACATCCCACGCACACACACACACACACCACACACACACACCACACACACGCACACCAAACACCACGCACACGCAACACACACACGCACACACACTACACACACATACAACACACCCACGCACACACACCACACACGCACACACACACACACACACACACACACGGCACACACACACACCACACACACAACATCACACGGCGCCACACACACATACACACACGCCACACAAACACGCAACGCTACACCCCACACACACACACACACACACACACACACACACGACACAACACACACACACACACACGCACCACACTCATCACACACACAAACACACACACATTCACACAAGGGAGAGAGCGAGAAGAGAGAGAGAGAGCGAGAAAGAGAGAGAGACAGTTGGGAATAAGAGATGGGGAGGTAAAAAGAGCGAAGGGGAGAGTAGTAGCATGAGAGAATGGGGCGCGCACGACCGTGAAGGGCACGTGAAGGGCACATGAAGGACACGTGAATGGCACGTTAATTGTCGTAGTGCTCGATCGATCGCTCGGATCGTATTTCATTACGTAAGCGGCCAGGAATTAAATTAAGAACTAGACTCAAACATGCAGAACAAAGCGATGCTAAGACAAGCAGGCCCAAACTTCACTCAACAATATACACGATTCTCATATAATTATGTATTTTCCGCATAACTTTTGTCTACTGCGCTAGGAGCACTTGCAAGCTCACTTGCGACCTATACTCATTTGCTTCCTAAATTCGTAGTGTATTTGTTTATAGAATGGAAAGAAGAGAGTGAGGTTAGGGTAGAACGAGAGGGAGAGCGCCAGGCTGATGGGCGGCATACCTAATATAGCGCTAGCTATATATATATAAATACCAGCCACACAGCGAGACGT